TTCCTGCTCCTCTGATGCTGCTTGGCCTGCTGTATTCATCCAGCTCTACACCTTGTTATCTCTAATTAAATTGAGAGTGCAGGTTCATAGTTCCTTGAAAGTGGAGTCCCAGGTGAGGAAGGTGTTTAGTATGCTTGCCTTTATTGGTCAGTGTATTGAGGATAGGAGTTGGGAGGTCATGTTTTGACTGTACTGGACATTGGTTAGGCCACTTTTGGAATACTGTGTACAATTCTGGTCTCCCTGCTGTAGGAACAATGTTGTGAAACTTATAAGGGTTCGGAAAAGATTTACAAGGATGTTGCCAGGGTTGGAGGGTTTGAGCTACAGGGAGAGGCTGAATAGACTGGGGCTATTTTCCTTGGAGCATCAGAGACTGAAAGGTGACCTTTCAGAGGTTTATAACATCATGAATGGCATGGATAAGGTGGATATCCAAAGTCTTTTCCCTGGGGTGGGGGTGTCCTAAATTAGAGGGCATAGGTTTAAGGTGAGAGGGGAAAGATTTAAAAGGGACCTAATAGACAACTTTTTCGCACAGAGAATGATGCGTGTATGGAATGAGCTGCCAGAGGGAGTGGTGTACAATTACAATATTTAAAAGACATCTGGACAGGTACATGAATAGGAAGGGTTTAGAGGGATATGGGCCAAATGCTGGCAAATGAGATTAGATTAATTTAGGATATCTGGTTGACATGGACGAATTGCACCGAAAGGTCTGTTTCCGTGCTGTATAGCTCAATGATTCTATAACTCTATTTATCATCAAACATTAATGTTCACCATTTAGTCAGTTTTGTAATCCAATATCCCATTAACAGCAACAACAAGAAATACTTTTTCAGAATTAATATTTTACCTTTCAAATTGTTTGATCTTCTCTTCACTCGCTTGTGTTTTGTGTATTTTTGCACTAGTGAAAAAGCAAATTGAATTAATTGCAAATGAATTACAAGGTAAAAACCCTTAAGATATTACAAAACAGTAAAACTGTGGCACGGCCCTTACTGTTGAATATATAGTTACCTTTTAAAAGTAAGTTATGTTAATTTTTAAAATGCATATGTTGGTACCTGTGATGTAGCTGACAATTTTTGAAGGGAAATCTCAGTGAGAATTAGTCCTTGTTATTCTAGAAGAAAATGATGATTCAACCCTAGTTTATTTTCCCTTTTTTATGAGTCCGTTTCCTTTGGGAGTCATCAAATAAAGTCTTTCTTACTTGTGGACTATTTCAATGAGGTCAATTATTGGCAAAATCCCACAGCATCTGTATTCTTAAAGGGACAAGAGGAGGACATGTCTCTTTTAAGGCAGTGTGAGAATTGTTTTGCACCTAGACCAACCTCAGGAAGTCACTGTCAACATCCGAAAAAAGCAAAATTAGGCCTATTCACAGGCTGACATGAAGTTTCACTATATTGGAACTGTTCCAGACCATGTGAAATAAGATAATCCAAATTGCCAGAAATCCAAATACAAACAGAATTGCTGCAAATAGTCTGCAGGTCTGCCAGTAACTGTGGAAAACACTAACATTTTAGACCTTACAGTCTTCCACAGGGCTGGAAGAAATGACCCATGAACAGCATTTTAACAGAGGAAAGGAAACATATTTAAAACAGGATGGCTTTGAGTTTGGGTGGAGATTGGTCAAATTGCAAAAGTTGCATTCGGAAGTTAAAGGTGGGAAATTGTCAATGTCCCAAGTATTGTTACGTTACAGAAGAAGCCATTTAGCCCCTCATACCCCTCCAGAAGTGCCATTTAAACCTTCTCTTGGCTCATTCCCTGTTGCTTAATTCACACCCAACTCAATGTCGGTTTAATATTAGGGTATTTTTCTTTGCATCACCTTCAACACTGACCAGTTGGGTTTGTAACGCCTCAAACTGAATGGAGTTGAGATCTGTTGAATGGAAATTCAGGTGCACCAGGCAAAGCAGTAGTGCTTCTCCCTAGTGCCCTGACTAACCTGTGAACCATCTCAGCAATTTACAGTCTCATCTCCACCAAGGTGAGATCAACTGATTAACTTGAACTGATTGATTGTTAATATGGCTGCTAACGCATTCAGGAATGTTCAGCACATATTGTCCAATCACAGAATTACATCTCAGAGTCGAGGGTTTGTTTGGGATTTGCAAGCACGAGCTGGTTGAGTACAGTATGTCCTTTGCCCATTGCAAGCATTTGATCTGATCAGCCAATTGTGGGAATATATAATCTCCGTTACTGGCACCGTTGAATTGTGTGCGAGGCAGAATATCTTTCTGGACTAACACTACATCCTATTAATTGGAACCTACCACTTGCATCAGCTCTGCATCACAACAGCATGAAATGCCTTCCTATCCTGCTGTTCAAATTTTTGAGATGGTTTGCCTTTTCAGAATAATTCGAGGTATACCAGGTTCCTTACAGATCTGAAAGCGGTAACCTTTGGCCCGTTTACAAGTCCACACAATACTCAGTGAGTAACAACCTGATCAGGTTAGTCATTGCACTGCAAGATACCTTTCAACTTCTGCATTAAGCTTCAAGATGAGCAATTGGCTAGGGCTCTACTGAAAAGATAAGTATGGAATTATACAAATCACAATGTGTATATATATTCACTAGTGAAGGTTCAATTGAGGTAGAGAGTAATGGAGAACCCAGTGGACTTCTTAAACTTCCAGTATTTAGACCTGGAGGACAGAATGTGTTTAGGAGTCACTTCTATACATTCCTATACAGTCTTTCTAAATCAACATTTCAGGCATGCGAAGGGTATTAAATAATATTCCTCATTTAAAATGAATCACTCACCAGATTCCCCAAAGCAACCAGCTGGTTGTTGCCATGCCAGGATGTGGTCAAGCCATTGGGCCTTGAAAAACTCTGAAAATCCAGCCTGCCCACAAAGCATCACTGCAAACGTAAGACATTTCATCATTAACTGGGCATTCAGGCAGCTAAAGACATAACGCGACTCGGCATTTTCAATGTACTTCTCCACCTGCTTTTGGCTAATCTCAGGCAGTCTCTAGGACCACCCGACAACAGTGAAAAGAGCAGCCCACGATGAGACCTGATAACCACCTCTCGTAAAATGCCACCAGAGTGATCTCTCCAATCAGCAGCCGTATATGAAACTCCCCCGCATCCTCGGGTTTTGCTGGATGTCTATTATCTCATTATTACTGTTGCTGGGAATGGAAGGTTTGAGTTATGAGGAGAGGCTGGGACTTCTCTCACTGAAGTGTAGGAGGTTGAGGGGTGACCTTCTAGAGGTTTCTACAATCGTGAGGGGTATAGATAAGGTGAAATGACAGGTGTCTTTTCCTGACAGTGGGGAATTTCAAGAATAGGGGGCATATTTTTAAAAGGAGAGGAGAAAGATCTTAAAAAGATATGAGGGGCAAGTTTTTTACACATAGAGTGGTTCGTGTGTGGAATGAACTTCCAGAGGAAGAGATAGGTGCAGGTACAGTTACAACATGTAAAAGACAATCTGAGAAATACACGAATAAGAAATGTTTGGAGCAATATGGGCCAAGTGCTGGCAGGTGGGACAAGTTTAGTTTGGGATTATGGTCAGCATGGGCTGAAGGGTCTGTTTCCATGCTGTATGACTCTGTACGAATGTAAGAATGCCAATGACGAGGGAACAGTGAACAGGGAACAGTGAACACGGAACAGTGGATCATCTTCCAACATTCCATCTATCACAAATTTCAATGCACCACCCCTCAGAAGTTATGGTTCCTAATCCATCAGTCATTGAAAAATTGTTTGAAATTGGAAATTGGGTCTTTATTCTCTTGTTCAACACTGACATAATAATCAGAGCAGTCCTGCCATTGCCCTGCTTTAGCCCTGTCTCTCTCAAGTTTCTTTCGTTCAAGTGCCCATGCAATTTGAAATCATTGATCATCTCCACTTACATCACCCTCGTAGGCAGCGAGTTCAGTTGTCTATGCATCTGAAAGGATTAACGGCACTCTGGAGTGCCACCCAAGGTGATGAAATCATATGGATTTGGTGGCAGGACAGTTTAGGCTCTCAAAAGAGTGAGACCTAATATCCAGTCCTGCTGAAAATTTCTGTCACCATGTCTGTCAGATCAATATAAACTGTAACTGGGGAATAGCATGCAATAAACTCGATCTTGTTAACCACAGGAACCTTTTCTGATTAGGCGAGGAAGTGGTTTTCCTCAATCGCACTAGGCTAAAAAAAGGTCACTCTCCTTTCTTTCTCCACGGATGCTGTCAATTGCTGAATTTCTGTTTTTGTTTGTTGAAGATCATGACGGGTCTAGTTAAGGTGGAGAAATGGTATTCCCCACGTCTTGACAGATCCAGGACTATGAAATTCAACGTTTAGGCAAGAGATGTTGGAGAGTTCTTTTATATGATGTAAGGGCTGGCACAGTCACTCAGTGGTTAGCAGTATTACCTCACAGTGCCAGGGATTTGGGTTCGACTCCACCCTCGAGTGATTGTGTCTATGTGGAATTTGCACATTTATCCCTGTGTCTGCGTGGGTTTCCTCCGCGTGCTCTGGTTTCCTCTCACAGTCCAAAGATGTGTAGGTTAGGTGGATTGGCCATGGGAAATTGCCCACAGCATCCAGGGATGTGCAGGCTAGGTAGATTTGTCGTGGGAAATGCAGGGATAGCATTGGGGTATGGGTTTGGATAGGATGCTCTTCGGAGGGTTGGTGTAGATTCAATGGCTTCCACACTGTAGGGATTCTATGCTCTGGAACTCACTGCCTGCAAAGTTCTGGTGATGAATAATTTTGGAATGAAATTGAATGGGCCCATAAAGCATGAAAATAAATATACAGCACGGGACTAATGAGATTGCCCATCAGAGAGTCAATATGGACAGATTGGATTGAATGGCCTCATTCTTTACCACAATGACTCCTATTCCATGGCACCTTCAACACTTCATGTCCCTGTATGCTACCCAACACTGTCCACAGCCACTCATAGGCATTATGCCAACCAATAACCCTGTAGTCACCACCCTCTCCCTTTCTGGACCCTATGCCAACTAGTGCCAACTCTTACAAACCCATGTTCCCACCGACTATTTGGATTTCACAGCTTTGACAGTTCTTTGACAGCTGTGACTGTTGCAATGGGTTTTAGTACACATTTCCGAGAAGGCGATGGCCTAGTGGCATTAATTGCTGGACCAGAGACCCAGACAACATTCTGAGGAGCCAGGTTCGAATCCCGCCATGGGAGATGGTGGAATTTGAATTCAATAAAATATCTGGAATTAAGCATCTAATGATGACTGTGAATCCATTGCCGGTTGTCAGAAAAACCTATCTGGCTCACTAATGTCCTTTAGGGAAGGAAACTGCCATCCTTACCTAGTCTGGCCTACATGTGACTCCAGACCCACAGCAATGTGGTTGACTCTTAACTGCCCTCTGGGCAATAAGGGATGGGCAATAAATGCTGCCTGGCCAGCGACAGTCTCATCCCATGAATGAATAAAAAAAGTACATTTAGGCACATTCTTATCTACTTTTTGGCATATCTACACTGTCACAATTGTGGCTGGCACTCCGAAGGGCACCCAAACCCA